AAAACATGTCTCCCATCTCCTGAAGCACCATCAGCTGTCTGCCTGTGCCCCTCAAGAAGGAGTGGGGTCTCATGAGCACCTCTCCTATCCATTGATCATTCTTTTATGTCTTTATTTTTATTTTATGTGTGTGCTGTGCTTGCATGTAGGTGATTGCACCCATACGTGCAATGTCCACGAAGACCAGAAGAGGGCATAGGGTCCCCTGGAACTGAAGTTACAGAGGATTGTTAGCCACCACATGCCATGTGGTACCAGGAACCAAACCCCAGATCCTCTGCAAGAGCAGCCAGTGCTCTCAACAGCTGAGCCTCCACCCTTAAAAATGTTTAATTAATTAATTAATTAATTAATTTACTAATTTATTTACTTATTTATTATTTATTTGTTTTTTTGTTTATTCATTTATTTTTGGTCTTTCTGAGACAGGGTCTCTCTGTAGCCCCAGCTGTCCTGGATGCCCGGCTATTTATTATTTATTTTATTTTCTGTGTATGAATGTTTTACCCTTGCCCTTGGTCATCTTTTAAGTGAAATGATCTGATATTCCCTCTCTTGCTCATTCACTTTTTCTGGTAAGCATTTTTACTTAAATTAGTACAAATAATTGAAGCAAAAATAAATATTTCCTTCCCCTACCAGTATCTTCTTACTCAGAGTGAAAACAAAAACCTTTTATGATTGAGACAATTATTCTTCCCTTGGATATTAGGCAATATTTAATTTAGTTTCACATGTTTATGCATTGTTAACATACGTTCCAGAATGTAAGTCAGATAACCATGAAATCACATTTAAAATTATTGCTCTTCATTTGGAAAAAAGAACTAGAAGTTTCCTGGGACATTAAAATACACAGAATATTTCCATATCTTCAAGGAAAGAAAGTTAAGTGAGCAATTCCACTGGGGACCTGTAGTTAGGCCCTCTCTCAGCGTTCCTGGGTCTGCCTTCTTCCCTGCAGTTCTCTTGAGAGCAGTGGGAAGCTTATATGGTCAGGTATGTTAATCCTCTGCACTGAACTTTCCAGAACTTTCTGCTCCACACCTGTCAAGCCACCTGAAGAAACTCAGTGCGTCCCAATGAACTTTCTAAGAAACAAAAGGTACAGATTAATGAAAAGAATTAGAAATGTACTAACAATTTTTCAATAATACAAATTTTGGGGAATTAGAATGTGTTAGAAATAAAGTGTACTAGAGAAGGTGGAATTTTGTTTTCCTAACTGGAAAAATGATTATTATGATATTCTGTGAACTGAACTTTCCATCAAAATTTGTTTGACAAGACTTATAAGTTTCTATGGAGTGGCATATAAAATGTGTTCAGGAAGTCCAAAAATTATGCAAGACATAATTAAATAATTATAAAGTATTTCAGTAATGTTAAGATATACATTCTTCTTTGGCATACTATCTTTAGAAAGTATTTGGGGGATGGAGAGATGGCTTGGCTGTTAAGAGTACTGGCTACTCTTGCAGAGGACTGGGGTTAGGGTCTCAGCACCCACATGGAGGCTAACAACCATCTGTAATTCCAATTCCAAGGTATCTACTGGCCTCCGTGAGCATTGCACACATGTGGTACACTTACATACATGAAGGGAAAACACATAATAAAATTTGTCCTTCTTTGAGACAGGGTTTCCCTGTAGCCCCAGCTGGCCTAGAACTGGCTATGGAGACCAGACTGGCTTTGATCTCACATATATCCACTTGCCTCTGCTTCTTGAGTGCTGAGATTAAAGGAGTGTTCTACCACACCCAGCCCAAACTAATAATTAAAAAATATTTATTTTTAATGCATCATTACTTAAGATTTTCTGCTGTTCCTTAAAACTTCCCTCATTCCAAGCACAAAGAGTGACCACGCTAAAAACACTGTCTCTGTGATCTAAAAAGACTACTTGTCAAATTCAATGGTCCTATAGATAGCATGGGGGTCTTGTGAAGACGAATCTTTGGAGATGGATCTGATTTTTCATTTCAAGCCTACCTCTAGGAAACTCGAAAGTGGCTGGCCTATAGACCTCTTTGGCTAGCAAAAGATTAAGTTAGAAATGCTTTTTCTGCCCAAATCAATCAGAAACTAATTGCAGGTGGGAAGGGGTAGAGGGATCACTGGAATAGGAGACCAGAGATCTGGAACTTAATACTGGTCCCAGCATTTAACTGAGTGACCATTCAAGCTCTAAGGCATTTTATAGTCATGGGACAGCTGAGAGGACACAATGGAAAGCTGTTTTGCATAGTGGTGATTGCTTGCATCTATAACACCAGAACCTGGGAGGCTGAGGTAGGAGGATTGCCATGAGTTCAAGGCCAGTCTGGGCTCCAGAGTAAGACACTGTCTCAAAAGGCAAAATCAAACAAAATAAAAGAGGACAATTTTGGGACAAGCACTTAGAAACTTTAAGACATCCAAAATTTTGACAGTTACCTGAGTTTCACTTGTATTTGGGGGGAGAGGAGGGAGAAGGCTTATTAGCTACTTTCTTAGCAACATTTTCTGTTTCTCTATCATTTTAGTATTTGTCAAACCAGATTAAAGAATTCTATGAGACAAAATGTTTCTTAATTAGGTTTCTATGATGTGTTACTGGTTACCTGCCTTAGATATGGCTCTGTAGTAAGTGCTATGAGGCTTAGCAGATTAATGAAATATTCTCTCAGTTCTCAAGAAATTCAGTTGACATAAGGTACAGTGCTAGAATAAAGAAACAAGGGTATTGGAAACAGTCCAATGGAGTTGAATCTTCCCTCTCCAAGTTCTTTGATCATCCTAACAATTTTGTGAGATCAATTCCAACTAAGGGATTACTTTTTAAAAAAGGCTTCAGAAAGAATACTATTTGTACTGAGGTCTAAATGGGCACACAAGAATGGCCAAGCATAGTGTAGGCATTTTCAGGACCATATGGAAACCAGTGTTAAAGGTAGCTACGGTGTTGCAGGCTGAAGGGAAGGAAGTCTATGTAAGGATTTCCATGGAAATGGGTTTTGAAATAACCACTTGATATAGATCCAGGGCCATGTTCTGACCTGGTCAAGGGGTTTCCCACTCCCTTTTAACTGCCATGAGAAACCAACGTGGTCCTGACGAAAGATGCATTTCAACTGATTCGGTTTACTCTCCTCATCTCTGACACAATTTCTGATACTTTTATCTGACACTTTTCTCTTTTACTAATTTTCAAATAAAGCAATGGCTTAATGTAAATTATGACAGACTCTTTGGTCTTAATTCCTGCTCACTTTTCTGCTCTTGCTCTCTGGACCAGCAGTTGCTCTGCTTGTTCTGTGCTCATCTATGGCATCTAAAAACGCTTTCCCTGATAGCTGCTTTTCAAAAGATGATATTTTAAAAATATCATCCTTGTCCATTGCCAAAGTATAAGGCTTATTTATAGACCATGCATTGTTTGAGGTAAATAAGGCACTACTTTTTCTGATGTTAGGAGTACACACCCCATTCATAGTTATAAAGTAAATTTATAGAGCAAGTACTTTCTTTCTATCTTAGTTTTCAGTATGACATTTGAACACAATCTACTTATTGTCAACCCTGGAATGATTGCATGTAGTCTTTCCGAATATCATTATCTTTAAATATTGATTATGCTTTATATTAGTATCCAATATTATGAACTCTAACAGCTGTCAAAACTTTATCTTTTCTGTATTTCATGTCATTTATACTTTTCTTATGCTAGTTCATTTTATAAAATTTCTTATAAAATTGTGCTGCCAACCTGGTTTCTCCTTTTTTTTTCTTCTTTCTTTCTTTTTTTCTTTTTAAGGCAGGGTCTCCCTGTAGTCCTAGTTGGCCTGAAACTCACTACATAAACCAGGCTGGCCTTGAACTCACAGAGATCAGCCTTCCTCTGCCTCCTGAGTGCTGGGACTGAAGGTGTGTGCCACCTTGCCCAGCCCAACCCGTTGCTTTTATCTTAACACATTTAACAGAGATTAACACGAATCTGCATTTGGGATAAAAGTATTTGGGATCTTAAAAACTAGAATTTAAATATGAGAGTTTCTACATTAAGCTGCCTATTTGTGTTTGAGACAGACTCTCACTCTGTAGCTCAGACTCCCTGGTCTGAGACATGAGATAACCTTCCTGCCTCAGACTACAGAGTGCTGGAAGTACAGGGCTGGGCCATCACTCCATGCTTTAAGATAATTTTTTAACGGATTATATAAAACTTGGTACTATTTTCTGAACTGTGCTATTAGAAATAAACAGATAATCACTGTTAGTGTTAGTTCTAGGTCCCAAAATTGGTGCTGGTTTTGTTAAGGGAATGACAATGTTTGTATTATTTGGTAGTATACACAAGTATTTGTCTTCTCTGTTAGAATTATAGGTCACAGGTTTTCATTTCAAGTACAGATCATATTGCATTCATATTTTAAGGATAAGAAAATTCGATTATGCATCTAGAGTTCACTGGGAAGCCACTCCTGTTTTCTGGGGGAATGCAGGTGGCCAGCTAATCTTCAACAGGTTTTAACTTCATGAAACACCACGCAATACATATCTGACTTTTTGCAAACGTATGTGCGTGCAGGTATGTGAACCTTGTTATAAACTTGAAACTAAAATTTGAGGGAAAGGGAAATAAGATATTCCAGTGGGAAATTATTTGAAATTCATTTTTAAAATTTTTTATTTTTTTAAAAAAGCAGTATGTCATTTCTGGTGCCTAAAATATCTGCAGACTTTTTTTGCATGTATGAGTTCAAATTATTGAACAAACAGGGAAAAGCTTTTTTTCACTTATATTTTGCATATTAAACATTTTTATGGTGACAGAATTGTAAGCTTATTGTAGTTCAACAGGCTCCAGGAAAGTGGCTGCTCACAGTAAAAGTCAACCCCAAACTCTTGAAAATCTTCCCATGTATGACAAGATTATCTAGGTAATCACATCTGATGAATGAAAGGATGCGTGGATGAACCACAATAAAATAGATCAACGCGGGAAAAAGCAGGCAGTTGAAGTTTTCTATTGTTCTAATACAGCGGAAAATAAACACTGTTAATAACACTTTGAATAGTTAATAAATTATATTTAGTGGGGATAATAACATATGATTTTGAACTTTACTGTACTACTAGGAGCTGAAATTTCCTGCAATCATTTTAAGAAAAGGAGAAAAACTGATTTCCTACTACAGAGGAATTTGATGTGATAAAGCACCATGGATCTAATTTATATCCCCGATGATGTGTCCAGCTGTACGAAATTTGGAAATAAATCCTGTCCTCCCACCAGTCGCTCTTTTCAGATCCGCCTGTTAATGTACTTGGTTATGACAGCAGCCATGATTATCACCATCTTTGGAAACTTAGTGATAATGATTTCCATATCGCATTTCAAACAACTCCACTCTCCCACTAACTTCCTGATCCTCTCCATGGCAACTACGGACTTCCTGCTGGGTCTTGTCATCATGCCTTACAGCATGGTGAGATCAGTGGAGAGTTGCTGGTATTTTGGGGACAGCTTTTGCAAGTTCCATGCGAGTTTCGACATGATGCTAAGCCTGACCTCCATCTTCCACCTGTGCTCCATAGCTATCGATCGCTTTTACGCTGTGTGCTACCCCTTGCACTACACCAACACCATGACAGTCTCTACAATCAAGCGTCTGCTGGCGTTTTGTTGGTCAGCCCCTGCTCTCTTTTCTTTTGGGTTAGTTCTATCAGAGGCCAACGTTTCTGGTATGCAGAGCTACAAGATTCTTGTTGCTTGCTTTCGTTTCTGTGCACTTACATTCAATAAGTTTTGGGGGACAATATTGTTTACTACCTGCTTCTTCACGCCTGGTTCTGTTATGGTTGGTATTTATGGCAAAATTTTTATTGTTTCCAGACGATATGCTCGAGTTCTAAGCAATATGCCTGAAAACACGAAAGGAGAAGTAAGGAAAAACCTGTCTAAGAAAAAGGACAGGAAAGCAGCCAAGACCCTGGGCATTGTGATGGGCGTGTTTCTAGCCTGCTGGTTACCTTGCTTTCTTGCTGTTTTGATTGATCCTTACTTAGACTACTCCACTCCCATATTAGTGCTTGATCTTCTGGTGTGGCTCGGGTATTTCAATTCTACTTGCAACCCCCTCATCCATGGCTTTTTCTATCCCTGGTTTCGGAAAGCTCTTGAGCATATAGTGTCAGGAAAAATATTTAGTGTCAACTCAGAAACAGCGAATCTATTTCCTGAGGCACACTAGTGAAAAACTTATAAATATGAGTCAAATATTGAAGTGACATAATTATTATTTTGACCCACAGCCTGTACCTGATAAACCCAGATCACTGCAAATGCTAGCTTATAAAATTTCAGCAATCACGCTTCTTTTTTTTTAAATACACTGCTTATTAGTGTTTACAAATACTACAGCATACAGAAATATTTTAAAAAATGAAAAACATAATTTAAAATTCAGATTTCTCAGTAAGTTAACAGGCCCTTGTAGAGTCCATGTGGACACTGCCTACTTAAGGTATTTTGTTTTGAAAATGTATTAAATCTTAAGAGAGAATTCAAGGGACTTGCATGAAGTTTTCTATACATATGAATTTATTAGCATGCTTTCTTATCACCCTTTCTTGTTCTCCTTTCTAAATGTTATAGTATATCCACACATGCATTTGTTTACATATATATATGTATATACACATTATAGACTAGAATCCTCATATGAGGGATTACAGCTGCTCCAGAACTCCATCCAACAGCTTTGACCAGTTAGTCAACACGTCTATCACTTACTAACTCTCCATCCAGTATACACTCACCTCTGACTTGTGGATAAACTGTGCAAAAGAAAAACAAGGTATACTATAGGGTACATTTATATTCACAAAACAAACACTAACTTCAGAATAAAGAAAGATGCTAATGGTTTTGGTTCCCATCTGATTCCCCTTCAGAATTCAGAAAAGGAGAGTCTTGTGATCACTTTGTGCTCTTACTAAAATGCTTTACCTGACAGGACCCTCTTAAACATCTGAGTTTCAATGCTAGGTGCATTGGTCCTTTCTAGCCTTCTCCACCCATTCTAGACAGATCGCATTGAAGAGCCTTTTTTGCCCAGAGTGTCAATGGCATTTTACTAATGGAAAACACCTGTAAGAAACAGACAGGTGAAAGAAGAGAGAAATGAGTCAAACTTTCCACCCAGACAACTGCGATCCCCAGGAAAGGTCACCTGCAGTCAGTGTAGTCATCCTCCTAGAGTTCCTATAACTGCTCCCTTTCCTGTCACTCTGGTGCAGCACTGCCGTTGTTCCTGGGTACTGGGTTATTAGCAACGTGGATGTTATTTTAACCCACAGCCTGTACCTGACAAACCCAGATCACTGTAAATGCCAGCTTGGAAAATTTCAGCAATCACACTTCTTTTTTAAAAAAAACACACCTGTTTATTAGTGTTTACGAATAAACACTAGTGTCAGTTTTTTTTTTTAAAACTGGGTGCCCATGCCTGACTTTTTAAATAGTTCCTTTATTAAGTGCTCCTTAATCCTCCGATTGGTTACACCTTGTTTCCTGTTGAGCACCTGATTAGTAGAAGCTTTTCGTTACTCCAAGGTGACGTTTTTTGAAATGCCTTCCACTGGAATCCAGCTCTGCGCAAGCTTGACTTGGTCTTTCTTTGGGTTCTTCTTGTTTAATCTCTCAGTTCTCTCCCTTTGAAGCAATTACTGGCTTCCCTGTTAAGTCGGCTCCATTTAGGAACCCTTGACCCTCCTCTTCCACTTGCCACATTACTTTTCATTTTTAAGATCAGTTTAGCAGATTGAGATTACCAATATTCTTGTGCAAAGGAAAAAAGTTCTCCAAGGTAATTTTGGCTTTTAAAGTTAAGATTTCATTTATAAGACACTACTGGAAAATGTAGTTTTTTCTTAAAGTTTTATTTAACATGACTTTAATTTACAATTTACAAACTTTAATGTATAAACAGAACTTCTAGTTACTCTTTTATGATATTTGAAAACAACTTTTAAATGTAGTCATAGCCTAATGTGAGAAATATAAATGGAAAGTACTGTCTTTTCTTTCAAAGGGAGTTTTACCATTACAATATAGAGGCTTCAGGAGTTCTCTGTAGATGGAATTTTCTCCATTTTGATCTTCCTAGCAGGGAGTCTGTAGGCTCTCAGAGGATATGAATTCTAAACAAACTCATAGACTCACATTTGTCTGAGATAAAAATGTATATTCAAAATCAACCCCAGCCCTCAATAGCTATCTTTTGCTTATCACCTGCATCTTTTCTTTTTTTGCCAACGTGTGAAAATATAAATGTAAGAAATGAAATCTTTCCCCTCAAAAATGTTTTAAACTATGAGCTTGCCTTTCTCTTCAGAACCCTTGTTACGGAGCTATCTGCCTGAATTTTGTTTGTTTTCTAAAGTGTCAATTGTAACTTGATGCATTATAGTTTGTCTTCTTCTCAACCCCTCACCACACACACATTTTTATGACTACATGCCAAGGCCTTCATACACTCCAATTCTATGAACATTATGACTCAGCCTACGTGCTGAAACCCCAGGATCCTAAGTTTTAAAAATTTTTACTAAAGTGCCTCTGGACCCTTTAAATGAGCTAATCAAGTTTAGATTGTGTGGCTAAGCCTTGACTAATGAGGGACAATCATGTTGTCTTTTACATTAGGTATGAAAGGAGAGGCCATCTCAATTAATTAAGATGTGTGCTTGCTGGATTCAGGGTGGCCTGACACCCTTCTGTAGAAGTAAACATTTTTGCCTTGCTGAAAGGCTTTGGATTATGTATGTGGTCATTTTCCTGGGATCCAAGACCCATTTCTAACATTAATTACTTTATTCATATTTTGTTTGTATTTATCAGATTAAAACGTTTCTTAAACTTGTCCCTAAACATAAATGACCTCTTTAAATTAATTATTTATAAGTATGCTGTTTTAATATTTTTAGTATTTATAATGCCACTTAACTTTAAATATTTACAATTTATAACATTTATAATATGATTCAACTGATGCTTTTCAACCTAAAAATCACATGGAAGTCAATCTATTGTGATAAGTACTCTTTCAAGTTAAATTCTTAACCATTGCAAAGACTAAAACTGACAAATGCGTGAAGATTCTTTCTACACTAAACATAAATGATATTAATGCTATGAGTTTGATTTATCATTTCTTTTTCTTTTAAAAATCAATATGGAAAATTTCATTTTATTATATAAAAATCATATACACATGATACATTTGTACTTATGAAGATGTGCTGAGATTGGTACCAGAAATTGGTTTGGGTGAGCGCGCATTCTCTTTATTAGAGTGCTGTACTGGTCTTCCCTCAACAGAATTGTCCTTGATGGTTGTTTCTGTGTTCAACTGACAATTTTCCTGCCCCACATTGCTGCTGCAGTGGAGCAGGGCATGCACGCATCATGCTTCTCACTGAAATATTATCTGAACATCCAGTGATGCTGTCTCCTTGCAACTTTATGGACTTTCCCACTTACATTCACTCTGCTTTTCACCCTAAATGTTATGAAAACAGAATAAAGCATTGCCCCCCGACCAATAAGATAGTTTGAACTTTGAACAGCATCTTAGACTGGCGGTGCAATATCCATCAGCTTATTCCCTTGCCAGCTTTTCATCTCTAATAGTTTTCCTGTAATTGCTACTACCTGAGTCAGAGACCCATGACTTGTCCCAGTTCAAACTGTGCTTCTTCAATATCTTTGTTTTTCTAGTGAAGAATATTATTAAAAAATTAAATAAATTAGCAAGCCTTTTCTCTGTCTTTTCCAGCACTGTTTATAGTCACTTTATTGACCATTTTCTTCCTGTCATTTGTCTATTCCTCTTGAGTCAGGGTCACATCATCTTTTTCCAATCTTAGTAGACCTGCTGGGATTGCACCTAAGAAGGTTTCCATATCTGATTGTTGCAGTTTAAATATGAAGTAAAATAATCATTGGTATTCTCGACTAGTAATGTATAATAAAACTGATAAGCTATTTAAATTTTGTATATAATTCAGATATATGTGCTGTTGAGTGCATGAGAACAATACCAATAAAAATACAAGTGTGGTTCAATACCTGATGGTATGGTATATGATATTTTTGATACTGTGCTTTTATTTTATTCTTTAGCTTTTATTATATATACATATTGTGTGTGTGTGTGTGTGTGTGTGTGTGTGTGTGTGTGGTTGAGACAGGGTCTCCCTGTAGTCCCAGAATACCTGAACTCACTGGCCTTGAACTCATAGTGTGCCGCCTGCCTCTGCCTCCCGAGTGCTGGGACTAGAGTCATGCACCACCACACCTGGCATTATGTATTTCTTTATTCTTATTTCTTTCATTTAAATTTATACTGTATTGTTTATTTTGTTTTCTTCATATTTTGGGGGAGATGAGCAGTATAATATGTTGGTATAGCAATGTGGAAGAAAGACAGTATATTTTGGGGAGAGATACGGGGTCTTACTATGTAGACCAGGGTGGCCTTGAATTTACAGAGATCCACCAGTCTCTGCCACCCAAGTGCTAAGATTAAAGGAACGTGCCATTGTGTTAAGATGACAATATCTTTTTAGTGTCAAAACGGGTAATATTGAATATTCCTTATCAAAAATGTTTGGGCCAGAGGTGCTTCAGACTTCAGAATTTTATAGATTTTAGAATACTTACATATATACATATATGATATTTTTGAAGTGAGATACAAGTCTAAATATAAAATTTATTTGTTTCATATATACATTACATATAACCTGAAGGTAATTTATGCAACATCTTTGGTATACCTTCATTAAAGATTTTTAAAAATTACGTATTATTTATTTATTTATTTATTATGTGAATGTGTGTATGTGTAGGGTGTGTGCATACCATTGCACATGTGAGATGTGGAGAGTAAGAGCACAACTCACAGGAGTTGGTTCTTTCCGTCTACCACGTGGAACCGAAGGACTGAACTCAGATCATCAGGTTTGGGGGCACGCACCTTTACCCTCTGAGCTACTTGTTGGCCCAGGACACTTGCATTTTGATTTTGAACCAATGTGTGAAGTCAGGTGGGAAGTTTTCTACTTCTGGTATCATGTTGGCACTCAAAAGTTTTGGGTTTTGAAGTAGTTGAGATTTTGGAGTTTTGGATTAGGCATGCTCAACCTATAATAGTTTTTCCTTTTGCAATTAACCTGCTTTTATTCCTATTT